GTAAGACTATGAGGAGAACTGAACTGGAAACCAGTGTGACCTTTTTTTTCCCCACCAGGCTGTTTTTTGTTAACCTGGGTCGGTTCCCTGATCTGGCTCACTATGTGGCCCTGCAAACAGCCCACCACTCCAACAGAGGCTGTGGGGATGGGAATAGATGTGGAGCAGGGTGGTACTGTCGTGGAATAAAAGCATTTTATCAAACTGTGGCCTCAGTGACCAGATACCTATTCAGTGTTTCATTTTGGCCTCTGTGTTTGCTGAGAGACTATGTAAGCTTTTTGGTTTTTTTTATTGTATGGGCTCATTCAAGCGCTCAATTAAAAATAGAATTATTAATTTCTTTTGAGTGCTTCCATAGAGCAACACCAGAGCACTTGAATGGAGCATCACTATGAATGCCTTCAGTTTCATAACAGTATTGAACAACTATGTGATATTAATATCCTCATTCTGTAGAGGTGATCAGATTAAGGGCAGAGCTGCCTACTTATTTTCCATGTCTGATCTTCAGAATGCTTGCCATCTGCTAAAAAAAGACATTTGTGGCGATAAGAGGCATTACTGTGATGTTTTGTGTGTTCAGGTGAAGTTTCAGCCACTATCCACCTTCATTCTAGGTAATGCAACAAGTAGCCAACAGCAACGCTACTGAGTAAAGCAACTGAGTAAATTCTTGAGTTTCTGGAATAATTTTGTTGCCAAGCAGAGGTGGCATTCATTCACCCTAACCATAGAACTGTCATCTCTTCTGTTAATCATTTGTCTCTCATTTGCAATGTACCTTCCAAAATCTGCAACTCGTTGAGGATTTGCAGAGAAGTTGCTTGTTATGTAGCCCTGATTCCTTCTGTATATCGAATGAAATGTGGGTCGTGTGAGGGCACTGCATGGGGGAGGATGGATTGGACTTCTCCAGGTGATCATCACCCATGGGGCCTTCCATCCCCTGGTTTGAGTATGTCACTCTGTAATTGCAACAACTTTCTCAAATGTGGCAGGAGGGAGAAATGAGGAGGGACTAAAGCGTCTCTTCCATTATGTAGAGACTGAATTAGGCAAGATTATGGAGAAAGTGTGCTAATTCAGGCCCCAAATATCTTAGCCACACTGGGGTGAATGGAAAATAAAGGTCTGTCTTTCCATTCAAGAAGCTCTCACCCAATATGAGTTATTGAAAAGTTTTGATTCTGATCAATAAGTCGATGAGGGTCAGGAACTAAGACAAGGCAGATGTCTGATACTTGAAGTGAAGAAAATTTTTTTGCTCATTCATTTTTGAAGAGCAGATGGCTTGTCCGGAGGAACGTCTATGAAGAGTGCATGGATGGGCTCATGTGTTCTCTCCCGTTCTTGCCTTTGTGGGCAGGAGGAAGCATTTGTTACTGAGCTGCTTAACTGAGTCACTTCATAGTGGGATGGGCCGGTGAGTAGAGTGACGTTGCTTTCTTTTTTTTTGTGCTTACAAGCTCAGTTGCGCTGCAATCTTTTGAGAAAGTATATGATTAAGAGCAAAGAAATTAGGGAGAGTGCCTATAAACAGAACTAGATCTCTTACGGTACTTTATAGTTGTATTAAAATGCTCAAGTTTCTCAAGTTTTGGTGGCTTTTTTTTTGTTTTTTTTTCTTAGTGCATCTCCTTTATGAGCAGATAAACTGGCAGAAGGGATATTTTGAAGATAAAGCATAGGCTTTGGTGTCAAATGATCTAGGTTTCTTTCCTGACACAGCCACTGATTATTTTTTTTATGTGGCCTTGGGTAAGTCTTCTGATCCTTCTGTGCTTCAGCTTTTCCCTTTGCAGAGGGAACAGAGTAACAGCAGGTATATCGGTTTTTTTGGAAGTGTGTTTTCCATCTCGGTTAAATGTTTGCAGAGTTGAAGGCCTCTGAGGGAAGGTGTGCCCCGAGTATGAAGGGATGTTATGTTACTTTGACAGGCTACTGAATACCCTAAAACTCACCTCTTGTAAACCTTGTCCATCTTGATTTAACTTGCTGCTTTAGCCTGTGTGATTTTTTTTTTTTCTTCTGTCTCGAACAGAAACAGCCAAACATTTAGAAAGTGGTGTTTTAAAATTGCCTTTTGGTGTTTCTGTCACTTACCTAAAATAAAATCAGTGCCATTTTTTTCTCCCACATAAACATTGAATTTTATTCCCTGAAAGTATTTTTGTAAAAGTAGGGCTCGTAAAATATGCTCCAGCTCTGGTGGCTGAAACGTCCTGTTCATACTGATGACAACAGCAGGCTTTGGAAAACACCGTTCCTCCTACAGCACTGCTGGGACATTTTCCCCATGATTGGGAGATACAACCTCTGAGGCCGGGAGAGTTGGTTGGGTGAGATACAGCTGTTTCTTTCCTTGGTCTCGTAAGTTCCTCACAAGAGCACTGGGTGAAATAACATCATTACAACTAAATGTTTCAGAAGTTGGCTGGTCCCCTGTTATGAATTCAGAACTGTCCACAATGCATTTCTGATGTTATAAAAACATATGTTGAATAACCATTAGATGGAAAAAGTTTTCCTGGAAGGTAGGAAAGAAAGGGGCTCATTCAGCCCTGTCCCTTGCTGCCAGACAGCAGTGTCAAAAATTTATGAACAGATGCTCTGTAGTGTGCCTGGTCAAGTAGGTCATTTTAAAATCTCAAAGCTCCAATGGTTGGCAACCTTTACATTTTCAGCTTAAGTTTATTCATTGGCAATTTATAGCCATTTGCTTCTGCATAAATAAAGTGTTATTGTTATTTGAGCTGAAATAACTTCTTTGGCTTCCCTGTATTTTTATCTTAAGCTTACCAAGGTGAGCACTTTTAGCCTCCTAGACATGTTGGTCTTCTGGTTTTTCTGGCCAGCCTAGGGTCCTTCTCTGCATCCGCTCTAATCTCTGTTGATTTTACATCACTGTGGGTGTTCAGGATTGTGTACAGTGTTCTGTATGAAGTTCCATCAAGACTTTGTACAAAAGACATGAATACCTTTGTATTTCTACTGGCAGTTACTTTTGTAATTCATCACAGATTTGCGTCTGTCTTTCTCCTGTCTGTAAAATACGGGTGTAGTCACCAGGTGTCTGTCTTTGTCATTTCTCATGGTAAGTCCTCAGCTTGAAGGAGATATTGATAGTCATAGAATGGTTTCGGTTGGAAGGGACCTGTAAAGGTCATCTAGGCCAACCCCCCTGCCATGGGCAGGGACGTCTTCAACTAGATCAGGTTGCTCAGACCCCTGTCCAACCTGGTCTTGAATGTTTCCAGGGATATGGCATCTACAAACTCTGTTTCTTCTGCCATTCAGCATTATCTGATACTTTCTGCTCTTAGTTTTTATCCTATTTTTATTATTTCAGTCCGTGAGGCAATCCAGTTTCTCAGGTAATGATATTACAATCCTCTTCACTGTTGATAGTGTCTTCCAATTTTGGGGTATACTCTTAATTCCTATGCCTCTCTAAATACAATCCTGTCCCCAAATTGCTCTTAACTTCTCAGACAATCAGTCTTCCTTTACATGACAGTTTTCCTTCAACTAGTTTATTTTCTACTGTATTCAGTTCAGTGTATTTCCATGTTGGATGCATGGGTTCTGCTGTGTTTTACCTGTCTGACTATATATATATAAGGGATTGTAGTATGAGCTACCTTTGGTAAGCCTGTGTTGCATTCTTTTCAGTTGTCTTTCATCTTTGTATTTCAGTTATTTTTTAGACTGGTTTCTTGAGAAAACGAAGCTTATGTGGTCACGCAGTCAGTCTCTCATCCTACTTCTCTTCCCATAGTAACTTTTGAACTTGCTGGCCAATTTCAAGCAACTTTGACAGAGGGCTAGATGCCTGGAAAATACAGAGTTCCAAAAAATGGACTGAAAAAAAGTGATGAAAGGAATAGTGAATTTAAACTAAATTAGTGCCTCTACCAAAGAGAAGACCTTTCCTTCCAAGTAAAGCTGAGAGAGCAGAGCTGATACAAGGAGGAGGACAGGGCAGAAATGCCCAGCTGTGTTAAGAGCTTTAGCAAGAGCTTGTGCTTTCTTTGATGCTGGAGAATCCAGCCATGAGGAGCAAAGCTGGAGGAGAGGAGTCCTTGTTTTGCCATGTGCCTTAGGGAATAGCCAGCCATAAGACTAAGGAGTACAACTCCCAAATCTCAGCAGAGTGACTTTACCCCCTTTTGCTTCTACCTGTAATTGTGACTAGCATGTGCCCCCTTGGAGATTCCTGCATGGAGAAGCAAAAGGGACCATAACCTGCAGCTGTCAGTATGTGTTTTCTGAAGTGATGGATAATCTTTTGCCAGATGCTGATGGCTTAAAAACTGTGTCCTGAAAAGGGGTAAATCCAAAAACATTCTTCAATGCACATCTGGGGCTCTTCCCCTTTCCCTCTCTGTCTCCCTCTGCGTGCGTACAGCGGATGCTTTGCTTTGTATGTAAGACTGGTAATTGAAGTGAAGCAGAGACTTGGCTCTGTTCAGTGTCAGGATGAACTGAACAGTCTCTTGAGTCCCTTCCTGCCCTATTGTTGGTGATTTTGCTGTTATGATTAGGACACTGGTAGGGTATGAAGTGAAGAGAAATGGTATTTTATCACTGAGCAGTGCTGTGGTAACTTGGCAGTAAGACTGGAACTATACAGTGGAAAAGTGCTAGCCTGGCTGTTGGAATTTTATGGCAAATCAGTGATTATTTAAATACAGACACCATACTCTAGACAGCTATGTAAGTTACTTTTTGGGAAGGAAATGTGTTTATAATTTATAGTCAACATTTCAGTTAGAAATGTGGACTTCATTTTTTTTTTTTTTTTTTTAATCTCAGAACCTCTAGCTCATGAATACTTCAATTTAAAAATTAAATTATCTCCCCCTTTGCTTTTCCTTGTGTGGAAACTTCTAAAAGGGGAAGATGAAGGGATGACTTCAGCAATCTGAATAAACCTGCCCCACCTTGGATGAAAATACTTCTTTTCTGAAATGCAACATGCCTGTTGGGCTCCTGCTCTCAGACTTTCTCTCTTGCGTCTTCACATCCTCATGGCATGTCTTCACGGATAATAAAAACATGCAGAATCAGGTCCTTCTTGAAGTATGTTGTGAATTACTAATCTTCTAATTGCAGCACGTGCAGGATTATGGGGTGCTTGGCGCTTGCTAGCAGCATTTAAACAAATTTATTGTATAATACTGGCATCCCAGTCTTTTCCAATGCTTGTATGTAGCTGAGCGTGCCCCAGTGAGTTAGTCGTTAGTAATCCCAGTCTTCAGGCTTGCATGTTTTCAGCTTGAGGTGTGAGTGTGCTCTGTTACTGGTTGGATGGTGCTGCCAAAGCTTTCAGTTGGGAGCTCCATGGGAGCAGGAGTCCACAGTTGAGAGCTCAGCCAAGGAGTGACGGTTACATAGCCAAAACTGCAGAAATAAAAATGAGTTTGAACTGAACTGTGAGGAGCTTGAAAATGGAAATCTGAAAGATGTGAGCTTTCAGATGTTGAATATGAATATATTCCTGTTAAACTGACCTAGCAACAAATGAGAAGCTATATACAAATTCAACTACTCTGGACACTATAAAGGAACTTTTGGTTTAAATAAGACGTTTAAAAATATTTCCTGTGTGTCATAGAAACTGTTCCTGTAAAGATAATCTGCAAAAATATTTTAAAATGTTTTTAATAAGATGTTAGGGCAGTGTCTGTATAGATATATTTTTTCAATTTTTCTTTTTTTTTTTTAAAGTACTCACCTATGGTTTGAATTTTGTACTTGGCTCTTTCATATGGTTGCTATTTATAGTTGTAATAGAATGTATATCTAATCTGGGTATTCATTCCATAGGATATTTGGGGGATTAGTAACACATGGATGGGTGGCACAAATGGGGTCACACTTCCTGATGGACTCTGGAGCGTGTCAGTAGTAACAACGAAGCATGAGAGGAGTGGGTTCTTTGGGACCACTGGGTTTTCTTCTTTATACTGTGTGTATTGTGCTGTTTAATTCTCTCCTTTAAAACCTTTTGTATAAAGCCTTTTTTTAATTGTAAAAGTTGAAGAAGAATAAGGAGATTGAAGTGGTGTTTGTATATATTTATGTTTTCACAACTGATCTTGCAAATGTGTGTGGGGAGGGATGGTGATAGTTGTCTTTTGTTGTGGAAAGAGATGAAAATTTGAGATGATTTTTGCTTTTGGTTTGGTTGTGTTTTTTTTTTACCTCCTCTTTATTGTGCAAACTGGAATGTGATACAGAATGGTGCTGAGCTGTCCCTGGAAAGTGATACTGCCTTAGCCAGAGCGTATTCCCATCTATAGTCTGTCTGTTGACTTCAGTAGATCTCTGTATTGGACCCGCAGCAAAACCCATTGGAATTCACAACTTAATGCTGTGTAGGATCAGAAACTAAGCTACTTGGTTTCTTTCATGTATAAATACAGTGATGTGGTATTTGCCTTTCTAACCATACAGAGGAAGAATGTTTTAAATTAAACAAACAAACCCATTTTCGTTAAAATGCTCAGTCTTCCATTTAAATGTCATGAAAACATTTGTGTCCGTATTTGGGCCTGATCCTCTGTTCCTTGTTTAATTCAAGCAATGTTTTACATAAGTGAGACCTGACCCACAGATTCTTGAAGTCTGTCAGACTCAGGGGATAGCTTAAACTGCTTCCCCTTGAGAAGCTTCTGAAAAAGAAAAGCAGCTGAAGAAGAGGGAGCAATGGTAGAGAAGCTGGGACCCTTACCTTGCAATGCTCTAAACAAAGGACGCTTTTGGTATGCTGGCATCTACAGTTAGGTAGCTGCATCACGACGAAACCAGTTTGGCAGAAAGCCCTGTCAGAAATCTAGTGGAGCCTGCCAGATATGCAGTGTCCAAAAAACATTGGATATAGGCACAGACTTGCTGGAGCACTGACCTGTAGGTCAGGGGCTTTAGGAAGCATTCGACTCCCATGCAGGTGCTTAGTAGTTGCTTTCCATGTGCTAATGGTGGCTTGTGAATCCTGGATGAACTTGCCGTAACTGTACGTGAGAACTTTTACTGCTCTACTGAGTAGCTGAAGCAAAACAGAGTGCCTGAGGCATAACCTTTTCTTGTTCATAATGCCTTTGTGTGGTTTTATTGCATTTTCATGTAAACCTTAAAAGCTATTTTTGTTTCTCATTTGATTTAAGGCAGTCCTCTTCTGTCCTCAAGGAAGAAATCCAGGTGAAGAAAAACCATGCCTTTGTTTAGTAAATCGCACAAAAATCCTGCTGAGATTGTGAAAATTCTGAAAGAAAACATGGCCATATTGGAAAAACAAGAAAAAAAGACAGACAAGGTATGAGGTAGTGTTGTAGAAGACCAATAAGGTTTTTATGTGGGGGAAAACAGTAGAATAAAGGGAATAAAATTGTGTTCTCTCACTGCCCTGGTTCTGCAAGTGCTTGCACATGTAAGTAGCTTTGTGTTTGAACGATCCTGCTGAAATCGGGTTTTTTTTTGCGTAAGTACAGTACTACAGACCTGGGGGTCAAAAAGAAAATGTTATGATCCAGGAGCCTCAGCCAAAACAAAGGGTGATCTCCTACTACTTTGAATAGTAATGCACCTAACAAAACAGCTTGGAAGGCTATTTGAAAATTATTATACTGTTAATTGTTTTAGCAGGATAACAAATGAGACTGCTAATTAATGTGTAGGTACCCAGAGAGCAAAACTCACTTCTGATGAACATTGTTCGCATAAAACAGCAAACTTGTATGTATTCAGATGTATATAAAAGAGATCTCACTCTGTCCATCCTTTCCAATCTTCTGGGTGCTAGTGCTTCCGAAATGAGCTGCGCTACTTGTATTCTAATTATAGCGCTTGGTTCTTGCTAATACTATTGCTGTCTTCTAACTCTGTGACACAGACCTGAGTTACTTTTGCCACTCTTCCAGTGACCATTTGAGAAGATGCACCCCAGCGTACAAAATGCTCCCAGTTAGGAATTTGTGCTTACATAAAATCAAATATTTTTTTTTTCCATCTGAGACTCTGTCTCTTTATATTATTACTGTAGTGGAAGTGTATGTTTTTAATTAACAACAAACTAATTTTAGGTTAATACTGAATGTCAGTGGAAACAGGAATAGCTGATAAGTGACATTAACACAGTTTTTGTGCAGCTGATGTTTGTGTGTGCATGTTTTGCTTCCCCCACCTTGTGCAGGAGCCTGTATTAGAACGAACCCAACCCAAAAGGTAAGCACAGAGCCCTTTGCGCCCTTAGTGAAATCCTCTTGAAACTTTTTGGTTCAAAGCAAGCAGCTCAAAGTGTGTTAATTGTGTAAGATCAGTCACACGGATTTCAGGAAGGCCTCTGGTATTTGATGTCTCATGCTGAAATACCTTCAGTTAACTGAAAAGTACTGAGAGAATTTGACTCCAAACTAAAACTTAAAATAAGTGACTAAATAAACCAACAGTCTGCCCTCCCCTGCTGAATTCATCCCTCGGAGCCTGATTAAAGACGACATTCAAAGCAGAAGCTCTAGGCTTGGGTTTCTTTTTGATTTGCTTTGCAGCATGACTCCTCTGGGTTGTGGTTTTGAGGATTTTGGGCTTTGAGCTGGTTTGTTTATTTGGGTGTCAGTGACAAAGGAGGAGAAATTCAGACTTCTTAGAAAATTGAGAACTTGATGTAAATTTTTCATAAAAATCAGAACAGCTGGTGTGTGTTTTCCTTACAAAGCAAAAGATATGGGAGCGTTCCCCTGGCGTATTAGGATGGAAACAGCTCATGAATTTAATCACGATGCTTATTTTACAGGAGGAGGTTGTTTTTCAGTATTTTCTGCCATACTTTATTGCTATGGGATGGAGGCTGTTCCTGGGGTGAATGTGGGTGATCGGGGAGAGGAGGGAGGTGGGACAAGGCAGTCACTTCAGCAGCAAGGCAGAAAGTGAAGAAACCAGCCTTTTTTTGGACGGTCTTTACACATATGGCTTGTTGACTCAGGACTTTGCACCACGATGTAGAGGAAGCACATAGGGCCTTTCTCCCTTCAGAAGGGAAGATGTGAGACTCCTTAGTAACACTGCCTTTTATCTAAAGTGTTGCAATGAGCCGTCCTGAAATAAATACTTATTAAAATAGCCCGAGTCATTCTCCTGAGTTTAGGGAAGTAAATCCTAAGGAATATCTTTAGTACTGTGCCAATGATAAACTTTTTAAAAATGGGAAGAAAAATAACTCTAGCAAAAACAATCACTCCACCACATCTCTTACTCTCCGTACAGGTTTGTGGGCTTAGTAAAACCATTTTTAAGTGTTGTTTGCATTTCGAATTGGAGAAGAAAAGATGATGGGGAGATTTTTCAATGGCACACGGGTTTTCAAAACTTACTCTCTCAGTAATACTAATGAATAACATCTTGTCTTTTCATGAGTATGATTAGAGAAACTTAACTGAAAACAAAAGCAAAGAAAAACAAAGCACAGTGCAGTACTCTGTGCTCTTCAAAACCTGGCAAAGTTTTAAAATTTGTCTCCAATTTGATTTCAAAGGGAGATGAAATGTGTCAAACTTTCATAAAAGGGCCCAGAGGTCTGGCTCCTGCAAGAGCCACAGACCGTGGATATCCAAGAGATGGTTTTGGACCCTGTGGGCCTGTGAACGCAGAAATTTGGGAATCGGGGCTCTGATTTTTCACATTTCTGGCTCCTTGTAGTCTTGCATGTGAACTGGGGAGATGCCGTTTTGCCTCACCATAAAACTGAGGTTCCCAGGACTTCTGGGGTACAACTCCGCAGCATCCCTGATTTTGCTCGCCTGCAGAATAGCTTCCAACTAGGACTTGCCTCAGATATTTAAGCAAGAAGATTTATCCTGTGACAATTGAGCTGTTGTTGTAGCATAGTCAGTGTGGTATGTGGGCTGAAACAGCTGAAAGCTGCTAATACAGCCGGAACTGGCAAAGCCTAAATTAACTGCAGGGCTAGCGGAGAACCTCCTTGTTTCCTTTCCCAGTTGAGAAATCGTAAGTATGAGGTGAAGATGCCCTGGGCAGCTGGGGAGGTGTGAGGTTGGACAGGGAGAGGCTTGGTGCTTCTAATACAACTTTGTGCAACTTTCAGCAGGAACCATCTGTGCCTCAGAGGGGCTGTTTTTAGATAATGCAGAAATGATCATTCCCACCAAGCTATGCAGTCCGCAGGTAGAGGGAGCCTTGCAGCAGACCAGTTAAGACTTTCTGAGTAATGGGAAGAGGTGGGAGGACACTAACTTGATACACAGGATGCAGAGAAGCCACTTGTAAGTATAAAGGCAGTTATACATCTTTTGAGACACATTTCCATGTACACACATAACATACAGAAGTTTGCACTCTTTCTTAATGATGCTTTTTGTTAGTCATAGAACAGGACCCATTCAGACTTTGAACTCTATTGACTGCACTAGCATCTGTTGTCTTAGATAAGGGTTGAATTTAACCCAGTTCTTCCATGTGTCTTTTTTAACTGTTAGTATGTGTAGTGTTGCCATAATGCTTTTTAAACACTCTCAACTAAAAAATAGGCTAAGTTTGAATATTTGGTTCTTACTTTTATTTTATGGGTGGGTTGGTTGATTTGCTTGCATGGATGTATGTGTGCTTAAAGCTTTGCCATTTTCTCAGCTACATTCTTATGGTTGATAGGCCACAGATTTAGAAGTGCCACCGCACGTGCATCCTTTTCCTTTGAAGTGCTCTTTCTAATACCTTGTTTTTAAATTTTTTTAAAAATAACAGCTATTTTACAGAAGGTATTGCAGCACTGGCAAATCTAATGTAACAATTGGGAGATTAAGTAGGGCAAGACAGAGCTGGAAAAGTGGACTAAAGCCTTCTTTATCAACCATCCTCCTCTCTTCCAACATCTGAAATAAATAAGCTGTTCTTGTGGCACATACAATTGCTGACATCCTGTTCAGGCTTTGATGCGGTGAAGAACAATTAATTAAGTTTTATCACTGAATTCTATAAATGCCATAAAAAGTTAATCCTGGTCATGTAGAACCAAACTATGCTTGGATTTAATGAGAAATACCCATTCTGGAATTAACTAGAAGAACAGGGAAGTATTTAAATACCTAGGAAGTGAAGACTTCAGAGCTTAGACTGTCTTCCTTCTGGCATGAACTCTTGCAGCCTTCGGAGGTTGCATGTAAATAGGGAGCAAGAGAGGAGAAACCCTGATATCAAGTGGACAGATCCGCTGAACCTGAGGAAGAACAGACAGCATGTGACGCTGCTCATACTGCTTCATTTACTACTGATACGCCACCATGTCTTTTGCTTATAGATGTTGTAAAAGAACATTATAGAAAAGACGCCTGACCCATCTCACAAAAAAAAAAGGGGGTGACATCCTGACTTCTTGAAGTCTTGTGTTCAGCCGCTGACTCGGGTCAGCACAAAGCAGCGTGGGTGGCATTCGGGGTGTATTCACCGAAGGATGTCCTTGAACACATCACCCTCTCCCTGCTAACCAAACACCTTTGGGTGCGGCACTGGTGACTCAGTGCCATCTGCGGTGCCTACAGGTTTGGTAACATTTTCTGAACCCGCCCTGCAGCAAAAGTCTTCAAAAGTGTCACAGGCTTTTAATATAGTACAGCAAACGGATCTGGGGTCAGTTGAAACTTGGCCTGATCTTTCTGCTTGGGCTAGATGGGCTGAAAGCTTTGCGGTTTCTGGCGTAGCTAGTCCAAGGCTTGGATATGAACCCAAAGGAGTTAGAGCTGGTTCAGGGCACGGTGCTGAGTGTTTGCCTGGCAGGCAGAACCACAGGCTGCAGCGCCCTTAGTTGGTGTTCAGAAACATCGTGAAGCTAGTTGTAAAATAACCTGAAGTGTCAAGCTTCTTCCCTTTTCACTTAAATATATCTAATGAGACTGCTTGTTTGGGTAGGTCACTGTAATCTGTCCTCTGTTTCTTCTCTGTGTACTGTAACAAATTTGGTACTGTTCAGAAGGGTCAGGAGAGCAGCATTTTTATTAAGGCTACACTTAAAAGACTTTAAGATTTCTGGAACAAATATTTATACGAATAAATCCTGCTTTTTTACATAGCAACAATAAAGCCATTATCAGCTCCTGTTCACCTTGCTTGCTCCTGTGCTGATAAAGCAACTGGGGACCGGTGTGTGAGATGAGGTGCATGCAGAGGACGTGATGTGCATTTGCATGGAAGAATGGTTGTGTGACTACCGTGACTGTAAATACCTGTGGATGCGATTCTGCAGCTGCCAAAGTCAGTTGCAAAATTGCCTTCGACTTGATTGCTGCACACTGAAACAGAGGAGGGAAT